GTTTTGCCTTTTCTCATCCTCCTGTAAGCTTTGATATTTTTTGCTTTTCCTGCTTCAAATATTCATAAAAAAATTAGGATAATTTTCCTTTTTGTGTCATAGTGAATACTAAAAAACCATATACTACATGTTCATTTTAAAAACACATCAATTGGCTGATGGTGTATGATATTAAAAGGAAATGAAGGCTACTTTTTGATAAGGTATGCAGCAAATGCTGATCTTATCAGGTTAGTGTGGGATCACTGCAGTTATAGTTGGGAAACACTGTGTACAACTGTAATTAGTGCCAATTTATGTTTCCAAATCAAACCCTTATGACTCCTTAAAATGAAGTCATGGCTTTCTGACTCCCTTCAAGTTCAATCTTTTTTCTATTCTGAAATAGTTTCATTTGAAGGACTTTTTAATACCTGAAGATCAGCTATGTCTCAGAGCTGTTGGGACTCACAAATTGGAAACCGCTGCTCCTGGGCTTTCCTTCTAAACTCCCTCAGTGGATGACATAAACCACAAAGACTTCTCTATCAGTGTATAGAGAGCCACCTGTTTCCTTCACTGCATCCAGTTTAGTGTTGCATCGGTGCCCGCATCCCGCATCCTTCGTGCTGCTGCAGATAAAACTCTGTGCCTGTTGGAAGGTAGAGGAGGGGAAAACAAAAGACTCCTTTAGATTTTGCCTTCACAGTGAGAACGAGGGCCAAAAGCTTGACCTCAAATTCTTCGCCCTGATCATTTCTCCTGAATGACTCCATGTATCTGCTGTATTTTCTGTTGCGCATGTTTACTCAGCTAATTTTCAGTTTAAATCAGCAGTTCTCTCATTATGAGCCTGCTTATGTTCACCTCAAGGTTGCAGATTAGGATCAGTGTCCGCCTGCTGTTGTAAAATGTTGGTCCTCCAGGCTGCAGAGAGCCACTTTAATGTGTCGCATGCTTAATTTGAATCTTGTAAACATCATTTTCTTAATGATGAGGGTCGCAGATGCCTGCAGACTTAATAAACTAATCTGTAAGGCCAGTAATGTTGTGGGGATGGAGCTGGACTCCCTCAAGGTGGTGTCGGAGAGGCGGATGCTGTCCAAGATAAAGACAATGTTGGATAACACCTCCCACCCACTCCATGACATGCTGGTCAGTCACAGGAGCACGTTCAGTGAGAGACTGAGATTACCGAAAAGCACC